CCCCCCCCCCCCCCCCAAAAGACGCAAGGTATTAGGGAAATGTGAAATTAGAGAGAATGAAGAAGGTAAAAAACACAGAAACATGTCTACTAACTTGGACCTACCCGGCAGTCGTTTTTCGTTCGAATTACGTCACACTTAAAAGCTCTTTTAGAGAGAGAAGATCAATTAGTTTTGACAAAATTCTAATTAGAGAGAGAGGTTCTTATTGTTTGGATGTGAAGCAAAACCCTTAATTAAAATTGTAGAAAGTGTTTTTAATTTAATTTCAGAAATATTTCGTTATACCAGGGAGGTGTCACACCAGGTGCGACACCTCCTTGTGTCACACCTCACTGTGTCACACCTCACTGTGTCACACCTCCCTTTGTCACACCTCCCTGGTTATACAAAATTATTTCCTATTTTGAAATTTTTTCTAATTATCAGTTAAGAATAGTGTTTTTCAATTTTCATTTTGTTGACGCACGTGTAATTATTCAGTCATCTTTTCCAATACCTGATAAGCTAATTTCCAAGTTAATCTGTAAGTTAGCCTTGCCATGACTTAGATCTATCAGTCCAGAGGTTGTTTCAGAGTATCGATTAAATTTGAAGAATTTTTGCGTAATTTTTGAAGAGGTTGTTTGAAAAAATTAGATCAATTACAGCATGTAATAACGATAAATAGGTTTGTTACCCCTTCTTAGGGATTCATAAGAGTCCAATTTCAAAATAATTGCACTGTCCTTTTAAAAGTTGAAGGACAGGATATCCTTTAAGAATTTTTTTTTTTTTTTGGCAAACACTCTACATCCTTCCGACTGGGAAAAGAACGATTGTTATCTCGGCAATAAACCTGGTGTAGTTCCTTCCAGGTATTGCTTCGAACACTTTAGGATTTAAAAAAAAAAAAAAATTTGACAATGTTTGGCTGTTTATTTCTTTTTAAATCAACTATCGCTGTTCGAGATAAGCCTTCCCTTGAAGAGGTTGTTTGAAAAAATTAGATCAATTACAGTACGTAATAACGATAAATAGGTTAGTTATCCCTTCTTAGGAATCATAAGAATCCAATTTCAAAATAACTGCACCGTCCTCTTAAAAGTTGAAGGTCAGGTCCTTTAAAAACGTTTTTTTTTTTTTTGGCAAACACTCTACATCCTTCCGACTGGGAAAAGAGCGATTGTTATCTCGGCAAAAAACCTGGTGTTGTTCCTTCCAGGTATTGTTTCCAACACTTTAGGATTTTTAAAAAAATTGAAAATTTTTGGCTGTTTGTTTCTTTAAATCAACTATCGCTGCTCGAGATAAGCCCTCCCTTAAGTTAGCTTATGTCAATACGACCTTCTTCCATTAAGTATTATCTCATTTAGCTGAAACGTTTACGAATAAATTAGAAAACAATCTTGGACGTAAAAAATATAAAAAAATAAAGAAAGCGCAGGTGGTTTGCGCGCGAATGCGACTCGCGGGGTCGTTTTCATATCTGAGTAGAGTTGTTTGTTGGTTCTCTCTTGTGTTTTGAGGATTTTTTCCCTCCCTCTTCATAAATCTTCGTTGTTAAAACGAGGCTTTTAGGCCATCCGCCGTCCACCCTGCACTGCTAACAATAATATATAATAGTTTTTTTAGAAGAGATAACTAGCTAAAAACTAGTGTGAGCTGCGTCGGTGTTTATAATATATTATTTAGCATAATTTGAAAACGAGTTGATCCAGTGATTGACAGAGATATACTTATTTATGCGTAATGTTCTCTCACTTCTGTGTGACATTCATTTACAGCTCTTGAGAACAGTAAAAACGTAAATATATTTTTTAGTGCTTAGTATTTTTAATGCGATGAATTCATAATACTTCATACAAGAAGCTTCCATTTACCTTTAATTTTAGTTTGTTTTACCCCCTTCTAGACACAGAATAGCATGTTTATCATTACAGACTATCAATAAGCATGGAAGTTGTCGTACTAATGTTCATTTACCCACCGTGAAACAAATATTCCTTCAATCCTATCCAAATATTCCAGAAAGAAAAACATCTACGTAAGCGTGTGTGCGCACGAAAGAGCCTAGTTTCATTTGAACTCTTTTTTCAAATTCTGTCCAAATAGTTCAGAAAGAACGACATCTACATAAGCCGCGTTTGTGCTCAAGAGTCGCTTGAATTCTTTATATATTTTCATATATTTCTTTGTTCTTATTTCCATTGAAATATTTTTCCTACTGTTTTAACTCT